TTTTTGTTTTTTTTTTTTATTTTTTTTTTTTTTTTTTTTTTTTTTTTTTTTTTTTTTAATTTTTGAGACAGGGTTTCTCAGTAGCTTTTGGTTCCTGTCCTGGAACTAGCTCTTGTAGACTAGGCTGGTCTCAAACTCACAGAGATCCGCCTGCCTCTGCCTCCTCCCGAGTGCTGGGATTAAAGGCGTGCGCCACCACTACCTGGCCTTGTGAAAGGGTCATTTGACCTCCAAAGGGGTTGTGACCCACAGGTTGAGAATAGCTGCTCTAGCTTCTATTGAATGGACAAAACACCGTCAGCATAGTTTGTCTGGTAACGTTTTTCTTAGTGATGCGCATGAGGAGAATATTAGAAGGGCTCTGGTTGCATCATCTTCCTCCAGAGACTTGAGTTTGTTTTCCCAGCAGGCAGCTAGCACACGGCCTCTGAGGTGCCTGCACTCTCCTCTGTCCCTACTCTAGCCACACATCTGAAAGTGGGTTGGGAACAGGCCTGTCCTCTGCTGGGCTTTATAACCATCAGCAGTTCTTTCTGTCATTTCTTCGACTCCAGCCACACACGTGCAGCTCTGAACTTAGCCAGGACCGATTGTGTGCAGATGTGGATTCCCTTCCCTTAGAAGGAGACTCCTCCTTTACTTGCTGACCTCCCAGACCCGAAATAATTACACAGAAGCTATATTAATTAAAACACTGCTTGGCCTATTAGCTTAGGCTTCTTAATAACTAACTCTTACATCTTTTTGTTGTTTTGTTTTGTTTTGAGACAGGGTTTCTCTGTGGCTTTGGAGCCTGTCCTGGAACTAGCTCTGTAGACCAGGCTGGTCTCGAACTCACAGAGATCTGCCTGCCTCTGCCTCCCGAGTGCTGGGATTAAAGGCATGCGCCACCATCGCCCGGCTAACTCTTACATCTTAAATTAACCCATTTCTACTAATCTGTGTATCACCACAATGCTGTGGCTTACCAGATAAAGTTCTGGGCATCTGTCTCCTTCATGGCTTCTCCCTGACTCCCCCTTCTTTTCTCCTCTATCTCTGCTTAGAATTCCCACCTTGCTCTGTTCTCCGCTGCCATAGGCCCAAAGCAGCTTCTTTTTTAACCAATGGTAATAAAACATATTCACAGCACACAGAGGGGAATCTCACATCACTTCCCTGTGAGATCTTAGCTACCTGGTAACATTGGTCTTCTGTTGTCCCCCACTATAATGATATTTTATTTATGTTTTAATAAATAAAGCTTGCTTAATGATCAGAAGGGCAAAGCTAAGCCACTAGAGGTCTAGTGGTGACACACATCCTTAATCCCAGGATTTGCACAACAGTGGCAGATGGATCTCTGTGAGTTCAAGGCCACCCTGGGCTACACAGATCAATGCATAAACAAATCCAGGTGGTGGTGGCCTACACCTTTAATCCCAGCACTAGAGGGAATATAAAATGGGAGGGGAAGGGAGGTTTAGTCTTAGGCTGGGTAGGCTGCTTTCCTGCTTAGTCTACAGTTGCTCAGCCTTGGTAGAAGTAAGACTTCTAGTGGCTTTCCTTTTCTTGTTTTTGGGTTGAACCCCAATATCTGTCTCTGGGTTTTTATTATTCGTGCTACACCCCACACAGTGAAAGTATACCTTGAAATGCAGAATCGCACATGCTCCAAGAGGGAACTGCAGGAGAGCCAGCTTCTTCAAAAGCATTTTGTTGTCTTCTCAGTCCTGTTTGAGTTTCCTCTGATGCGGTTGGATCATTTTCTGATTGCTTGCTTATTGTGTGTAATATGTGGGTCTGCTTGTTGAGGTTTCTGTCCTGCCCAGTTCCCACAGCCATTACGTCCCAAAGAAAATCACACAGAGTCTACATCAGTTATAAACTGATTGGCCCATTAGCTCAGGCTTCTTATTAACTCTTATAACTTATATTAGCCCATTATTCTAGTATATGTTAGCCACATGGCTCAGTATCTTTTTTAGCAGGGCAGGTCACATCTTCCTTCTTTGGTGTCTGGACAGGACTGGGGAGGAATGGGCTTCCTCCTTCCCAGAATTCTCCTATTCTCCTTGACCCACCTCTACTTCCTATCTGGTTGTCCCGCCTATACTTCCTGCCTGGCTACTGGCCAATCAGCATTTATTTAAAACATAATTGATAGAATACAGAATTGTCCTGCACCAATTGTACTTGCAATCCAGCTTGCACACTTAATCCTCTGAGGAAAGGGTAGCTGCGGGTGTAAGCCTGAGTCCCGGCTTTTCCAGCTTGGTCTTCTCACGGCCAACTGTCTTGTCCACCCTGCACTCATCCTAGGCTTTGTTCGTGCCCTTTCTTCTCCTCTGCAGTCTTCACCATTGCCATCAAAATCCTGGTTCATTAGCTCGCAGTTTCTACTCCTGATTCCTCACATTATGACCATATCCTGTCCGTCAACTGTACATCACAACACCAACTGAGTGGTCATGAACGCCTCACAGAATAGAGAAACTGCCCTTACTTGTATACAGTCAAATGGTGGCCAAGACTTTGTGGTGCCCCTATTATAACCAGTATGCTTTGCTGCATATCCTGTAGGTTAAAGCATCTTCGGCCAGTGAAGACCCAAACAGCAAAGTAGAGATCAGTGAGCAAGAGGCCTTGGAAAGGCAGTGGGGAAACATGAAAGCCATTCTGCAGGCCTATCATTTTACAGGTAGGCCTTTGCTCTGCTCTGACTCGTTCTTAGTTGGCTAGCTGTATTAGGCTAGACTTTGGTTCCTGAGAACTTATTTGCATACACTGCTATACATGCACAAGCTGGCATGTTGCTTTTAGGCCTGCCCACCTGTAAGATCGGCCTCTTTGGACAGTAAAAGATTGGCTGAAACTGTTACTTTGCATGATAGTCATTTGCTAGACCCTCTACTACAGTGGCTTCAACCTGTGAGTCATGATGCCTTGAGGGGCGGGTGTCGAGTGACCCTTTCACAGGGCTTGTATATCAGATATTTACATTATGATTGAAAACAGTAGAAAATTACAGTTGTAAAGCAGCAATGAGAAGAACTCTGTGGCGGGGTGACCACATGTGGGGAGCGGGACTCAAGCCTGCAGCACTGGGTAGGTCCTGCTGGAACTCTGTTCACTGCTTGCTATGACGTGGGAGTGGTCATGGTTGGAACTTCAAATCTGTTTCAGTATAAATAGGAATTTGCTCTTTGTCTATGCCACAGAGGACTGTGGGAAGAACTGAGTGAGGACCATCGTAAATTAGAACTCAAGAGAATAAAAAGAATACATAAAATTTTCTAGCTTTTCCCTCAGCATTTGATACTTAGGATATCGTCTCACTTCCTCATCCTTCCAGAATTTTAACTCGGATTCACGTGAGCCAGTCAGGGAGAGTGTCTGATACCATATTTGGCCAGCACTTGTGCACACTGTGTATCAATATACCAGGCCTTTTGAAGGTGCTAGAATGCCCAGACCTAACCCACAACTTGTGATTGACGTCTGAGAGATGTTGTCTCACCGTTTGCCCAGGACTCAGCGGGAAGCTGACCAGCCGAGGAGTGTGTATGTGCATCAGCACTGCCTTTGAGGGGAAGCTGCTGGACTCCTACTTTGTAGACCTCGTCATAGAGAAACCACTCCGGATTCACCACCACTCCATCCCAGTCTTCATCCCTCTAGAAAAGATAGCCAGAGCATCCCTACAGACTGACATCCAGCACTTCCTGTTTAGTCTCTGCGAGCACCTAAACGCCTACGCGGGAAGGAAGTACCAGACAGACCAACTTGAGGTATTTGTGTAGGGGTTTTATGTCTGATTTTATTGCCCATGACAGACTTCAAAGGAGCATGGCTTTTATTTATTTATTTTTTTCCTTTTAAGACAGGGTTTCACTGTGTTAAAAGTTCTGGCTGTCCTGGAACTCTTGTAATCTAGCTGACCTTGAACTCCCAGAGATCTACCTGTCTCTGCCTCTTGAGTTCTGGGATTAAAGGCGTGCACCTCCACAGAGCATGCATTCTTAAAGGTTTATTTTTGAGACAAATTTCTTGGGCTATGAGGCCCAGGCTGGTCTTGAACTTGGGCCTATATACTAGTCTCTGCCCCCTAAATGCTTGGATTACAAATGTCTGCCAACATTGCTGATTTATTTATTTTTGAAGATTTATTTCTTTATTATATATGCCATATTCTGCCCGCATATATGCCTGCATGACAGAAGAGGGTACCAGATCTCATTACAGATGGTTGTGAGCCACCATGTGGTTGCTGGGAATTGAACTCAGGACCTCTGAAAAAGCCAGCAGCCAGTGCTCTTAACCTCTGAGCCATCTCTCCGTCCCCTTTTTTTATTATTTATATAAAAATTTGTTTTTTGCAAGGCTGGAGATTGGATCTCGGGCCTTGGCATGATGGGAAAGTAGTCTGCCACTAAGCCATACCCCAGCCCTCATGTTTCCTAACTCACCTTTACTCTGTGGTTGGTTGGTTAGTTGGTTAATTTGAAACAGGGGTTCACTCTGTAGCCCAGGCTGGTCTGGAACTCACTGTGAAGCCCAGGCCACCCTCATGAAACTCAAGAGCAATCCTCCTGCCTTAGCTGCAGCGTTGACTACAGGCGTGCACCACACCAGCTTGTGCCCTTGCTTTCTAGTACTTGTTTCCCCCCATTCGGGCAGGTTCCTCTTCATCTCACACCCTTTTGTACCTCTCAGTGACGTTGAAGGGCAGGTCCTGGTTATAGGGTCACAGGTCACATTCCTACTGGTGACCCTCGAATTTTTATCACATGCTGTTTAACTGAGCAAAGACTTTAAGCTCTGATGTTATGTGCCCAATTCTGTGCTGACCCTGTGCAGGTGTCCAGGATCCTAGAGGACTACTGTTTGTCTTCTCCTGAACTCTGGTCTGCCTTCCAAGGGTGGGAACCAGAGACGCTGTAGCTGGGCAGTTCCACCTCTGCCCAGGTATCAGTTAAAGAAAATGTCTTTCCATACAGGATAATCTCAGTGAAACTCTTGGCAGAAATAGCATCTCCTATCTGTCCCTGATCATTCACTGAAGTGCTTCCTGCCACGGACTCCTGATGGCCCTTGGTCCCTTTGAGACAAAGTCTCATGTGTTATTGAGCTGCAGATGTTGCCTGTCCCACACGGTGGCCCTAGAGCGGTAATCGTCATCCCTCTCATTACTCCCTCCCCTGGTAGACGGACTTCAGTGCCTTCCTCACTGGACCTCTGCAGAGAAACGCCCTGTGCAACTTGCTTTCGTTTACCTATAAAGTGGATCAGGGGCGCCAGACCTTCTCCTTTAGTGTCAGACTGCTGTATGAGGACCTCACAGCAACTCTTCCCACGGATGTCACTGTGACGTGCCCAGGTATGGGGGATGATGCCTCGTGGAAGCGACTGAGCGCTCTAGTTTAAGCAATGGAGTGGCGCATGTAGAGTAACATCCGTGGAACACTTAAAGCCCCTTCTCTTCACAGTCTAGAAATGTACTAAGAAAGAAAAGTTCGTTCCCACAGTTTTTTGTCCTTGTAAATGTTAAGCATCATTATCTTAGTTTTCCCCATTCCATGCCTTTCCCAGATTGGCCAGAATTCTTTAAACTTACAGTTTGTTTTCAGGGGTGTGTACCCTCCACACCCTAGATAGAAAACTAAGGCAGAGTCCTGGGATTGTCTGTAATGAAGTTAATACATGCTTAGCCCTCTAGAGTATGTGGCGGTTTTCCAGGGCTAGCCAGGAGACTTGTTTTCACGTGTGTAGCGGTACCATAATAATCTGACATGGGCAGTAATTTTTTTTTTTTTTTTTCGAGACAGGGTTTCTCTGTAGCTTTGGAGCCTGTCCTGGAACTAGCTCTTGTAGACAAGGCTGGTCTCGAACTCACAGAGATCCACCTGCCTCTGCCTCTCAAGTGCTGGGATTAAAGGTGTGCGCCACCACCACCCGACGCAGTAATTTTTTTTTTAAAGCAGTATTCTGACAATTCCACAAGTTTCGCAATCATTTTTTTTTCACGTCTATTTTTTCTAAGTTCCCATTCTCAGAATTACATTGTTCTGGTAAGGGGCAACCTCTACAGAGCTATAGACCAAAATAAATAAATAAGTCATGTGGGTCTAGAAGAGCAGTGATCTGGTTCTGATTCCCCTGGTTGGATTAATGAACTTGACAGAATCTCTTCCTTTAGAGACAGAAGCGCCACCCCCTCACTGGGAAGAGCACAGAGCATCCCATGACATGCTCTTTCGCACCAAGCCTCTGCACCAGGTGTTTGCTTCATTTTCAAAAGAAGTTGAAGAGCTAGATTTGAGCCTGGTCTCCTGGGAAAGACTACCTGGGACACATCTAAAGTGATCATATTCATGCTGCCTGCAGTCCAGGACCTGTCAGCAAAAGCTGTGGAGAGAGAGCGCTTGCCTGGATACCATCCTTGTCATGATTCTAGATGCCCATGCTGTCAGGATGACAAGGAGTTTGTTGTGCGTGTCTCTAGACACCGGGCGATTTGAACAGGTCCTTGGTTGCCTGGTCACTCAGTACAGTACTCCAGAGCATCTCTTCTTATGTATGTATTCTCTCTGAAAATCAGCTAAATTGGGAGTAATTAAAGACATTTTGTGAGCATCTCTAGCTTTGGTGGGAGCTGTAAATCTACCATAGGGCTTGTGTCTAAGAAGGGAAAGTGTTTAATCTTGGGTTTGGGGTAGCATGTTGTAGGGATAAGCCCTCCCCTTGGGGACGGGCTGCCCTCGGGCGTATGTTTACTGATAAATTGGGTGCGCAGACGCTGCTCGCCCCTTCCTGCTTGCTCCGGGTACTCCGCTGGAACCTTGGTTTCGTGAGTCTGGTTTTGTCATTAAACTTGTTCAAATACCTATTATCATTGGTCCTCATTAATCCAACCGCCACATTTGGCGCGCCAACGTGGGGCACAGCACCCGCTCTTTAGTCCGCTGAGGGCGGTCGCGCTGCCGCTAGGCCCGCCCGCTCTAGGCCGCTTTAGGCCCGCAGTCTTGCCCGCTTGTCGCGGTCGCCAAAGGCAAACAGCAACAACAGCGCACCTCCCCCACACCGGTCCTAGGCTGCCGCGGGTCCCGAGCTGCCCGCAGCCAGCGCTTTGTTCCTTTCGCAGCGCGAGAGGAGTTAACCCCTCCCTCTCTGCCTTGACATTTGGAGCTGAACACGGAAGCTTAAATATTCGCGGTTTTACAACACAAACCGCCACATTTGGCCCCGAAGGGGTCACTTTGAATAAATTTCGGTCTTGAGTCTTTTCAGATCAACTCTCCACGTGGATTCAAGGGGACTCTTTCGCCACCTCTGGCAGGAACCAGTCATTACAGGTAAAAAAAAAATTTTTTTCCTTTTATAAATAAAATGTCTGACAATAGCACCATACACAATTTCAATAGCCTTTTTGAGTGTGCCATGTGGGAGATCCTACAAGAGGTGTCTAGCACCCCACATCTATGGATCCTTCTGGGATTAGTAGTTTTCCTTGGTATTAAGTGGTTTGACGACAAAAGTCTGATAGAGTCTTTAAGAGACGAATCCAGGATTCTTAAGGCAGAGGTTGAACATCTAAAAACTATTGGAGATGAATCCAGGATTCTTAAGGCAGAGGTTGAAC